AGAATTTTCTTTCATCCTAACACACCTGCTTACAGTTTAGGAGGTAAGGCTCTTGTTGACCTCTAGCCACCAGAGGCTACACGTATTTACCAAAAGAACCAAATTGCTGTTAGTCAAAGTGGCTTAAGTCAGTGCACAACATCTCCTTAGGCTCACGCCCTCCCCAAACCAGCACTGGCCTTCTGCCAGCTGCCCAGTGCTGCAGTTTCCTCTGAAGCAAGTCTTGTTCCAGCTAAGTGTCCAGGCACATCCTCCCCACTAAGCTCATCCACAGCAGGACCTGGTGGAAGCACCAAGAACCTTGCCTGGTGTCCAGCCCATGCACCACACCACCATCCCATGTAGAGGCCCATCAACTTCTAGGCAGTGCTTCCCAGCAGCCTGCAAGGATAAAGATCTTCACCTTCTTCCTGTAGAATTGACTGCTAAGCCTGTTAAAATGCATATTCCTGAGTCTTATACCCAGAGATCCCTATTCAGTAGGTGTGAAGTGTCCAACTTTGCATAAAATTGTAGCAGGTTATTATTGGCTAGGGGGTTGGCATGGACTGAAATTCAGCCTGTCCTCAGCTTGCCAAGCCATGCTCTCTGGTGTAGGCCTCGTCCACCCAGAGGAAGGGACACCTCCAATTTATTTCAGTTTCATCTGCTTTCCGTGACTAGTGTCTGTGGAGACATATCCACAATGGCCAGCAGACAGCAATGCAGGTCTGACCCTTGTGAGCAAGAGAGGGAATCAAGGGAGGTTGGACGGAAAAGTCTTAGACTATATGTAGTTCTAAGAAGCTTTGGTGAAGCCGATGGGGAGTCCTCCAGCCAAAGTCACCCAAAGGAGGAGTCCTGTATCCTGCAGTCCCTGCCATGCTCACTCACTGGCTGGAGGCAGTTCTGGGAAGTGTGGCCTTGTGACCAGGATGGTGAATTTCAAGGAATTATGCTCCCAAAGTTGGAAACCTGAGAGGCGCATTTTCATGGCTTGCATTCCTGATGAGGAGGGCCTTGGGAATCTGCCTTTGTAACAATTCCCCCTCCCAGGTGATTCAAAACAGCTCATCCAAAGAATCACCTTAGAGGAACCGCTGCCTAAATATTTTTAAAAGAAAGGCTTGTTAATTGCCCCTAAGGAAAAAGGAGACCCAGACTTCCTGGACACAAAGCCACATTCGTGGGACCTGGGATGGGGGAAGCTCTCCAGTTCCTCCGTGGTCAGCCTGTAGCCTACAACACGGTTATATTTTCAGTCGATGACTCTGCTCTGCTTTCTGCTATGTGTGTCATAACAAGCCGTGGGCCAAGTTGAACAGGCTCCCAGAGGATGGAAAAGTTAAATCTGCATTGGAGGTCTGTTCAGGGAGAGTGTCTTAAGGGTGGGAAGACGGAAGGAGTGGAGGGAAAGCACGTCCAGGGAGTGGGGGGTAGTCTGCTGGGGCTGGACAGGAGAGTGTTAGTTGAGGAGGAGGGTTGGCTCCATTCACGGAAGAAACCAGTCAGTGGAATGTGAGTGCAGGGGACTGGGACTCGGGCATTATTACCTGCAAATGTAAAAATGCCTGGGAGGGCATTCCTGCAAGGTGGCACTGACTGCTGAACCTCAGGATGAAGAAGGCTCTGTGTTCCTCTGAGCCAGCCCAGAGGCAAGCTGGATGTCACCCAGAGAATGCCCTGCATACACAACCATGGGAGGCACAGGGACCAAGAGAAGGAGATGGTGGGAGAGCTGCGATCTTTCTACCTCCTTAGTCCTGCCCAGGGTTGGCCCTGGTTCCCAAATCACCATCTGAGCCCAAGGAGGGCCTAACACGAAGACCAAACAGGAGAAGAACTATGTGATGATGAGTGATTAATGCAAATGCTCTCTGAGCATCCCTTGCTGGGCATCGTGAACTCAGGGGGTTCAATTGGTTTTCAGATGAGCTCAAGTTCCTACCTGGTCCCTGCTTGATTAAGTTCTCTTCCTTCCTCTTCATCCTCACCTGCTGCTGCTTTTCTTTAGACAAAACCAAAATCCTTAACTGGGCTCTTTCTTAATGATCTGGCTATTGCCATCTACTGAGGCCAGATCTTAACTAATCAGGCCATTCAGGATTCGATTATTTTTGATAAATGTTGGTAACATCCAGCAGGTGAAGAGAAGGGAACTCTAGCACTCCTCCCAGTTTGTAAACCAACATCATCTGGTTGACTGTTAATCCATGATGCTCTCTCACTAGACTGGTGGGACCACGGGAATAGGGACCAGATCTGTGCAGTTGCCCTTACATACCCAGGACCTTACATGCTCTCTGGTTCAAACAGGAGCCCAATAATTTATTTCCTTAGTGTAGTTAACTGATATAGTGCCAATCCGAAAAAACAAAAACTACAGAAGGAGGCTATCTGCTCTAAATCATAGCAACTACCATTTATCGAGCTCCTAATATTTCCAGTCCTTACAGCAACTTGCCAGGAAGACAGTATTGTCCCAGCATACACTTGAACTGAGTCCCAGAGTCAGGCATGGACTTTCCTAAAGGGATACAGCTGGAAAAGGGTTGAGCTGGTTTTCAAACCCAGAATATTCTGATTGCAATGTCTCAGCACTTTCCATAACAGCATTGCATCTCAGATTGCCACCAGCCGAGTTGGTGAGGGCAGCCCAAACCGTCTCGTTTTTCAAGGCAACTTAAAAGTATTAGCTACACATCAATATGTCTCCTCCTTCCCTGGCCTCGCAAACATTTCTGAGGTGTGTGCTGTGGTCCTGGCGTGTGGCCAGTGCTCGATGAGAGTGTATCACAGTGATGAAGAGTACGTAGACTCCAGAGCACCTGCCTGGCTTTGAAGCTAGTTCTGCCATTGTTGTGGAAAGAAAGACCATGAACTCAAAATGTGCAGTAAACCCTGTAGTTTACTAATATTCTGCATGCAGGGAAGATATGAGAGGAGACAGAGAGAAAACCATCTATGGATGGACGACTTGACTCTCACCTCGGTAGTACCTGTAAGTTACAAATATTCTTTTAAAGAACTAGCTAGTGACTCAAGTGAGCCACCAGGGTCTCTTTCAGAGAACTGCCTCTCTCTGTGCTTAGAAGTCTCTTTTTCCAAGAACTACTGCAGTGGTTGGAAAGTATGTGTTCCCCCAAAATTTATATGTTGAAACTTAATCCCAATGATGGTTTTAGGAAGTAGGGCCTTTGGGGGGTGATTGGGGATCTTATTTGAGATGGGATTTATGCCCTCATAACAGAGGCCCCAGAGAGCTCCCTCTCCCCTTTCACTGGGAGAGAATACAGCAAGAAGTCACCATCTATGAACCAAGAAACAGGCCTCACCAGACACTAAGTCTTTCAGCACTTTGAACTTCCACTTCCCAGCCTCCAGGACTGTGAACAATAAATTTCTGTTGTGTATAAGCTACCCAGTATATGGTATTTTGTTATAGCAGCCTAGACAAACTAAGACAACTACTTTTTCATTTTCTGTGAATGCTGATTTCACATGGCAAGGGACTATGTATGACAGAGCAAGACTGTGGCACGGGAGAGCTTTTGGCAAAGGTCTTTTACAACTGGGGAGGGAGAGAAGAGAGGGCAGGAAGGTGGACACTTCCCACAGAGGAGGGATAGGTATGTCTTTCATTACCCCTTGCCAGCTGGGTGACTTTGGTCAAGTCACTCAACAGGCATTCTGTCCCTGTTTCCTCATCCAGAAAGTGGAACTAAAAATAAGACTTAACTTCAGGGGATTGCTGCGAGTAGTAATTATGTGCATCCTTTGTTATTATCCAGAACTCAGTATCACTGGCTGCTTTGTGGAAGGCACTCCCCTTGCTAACTTCAATCTGGGGTAACATTTGATCCTTCCTCATTTGCACACACATTTCATGGCCATTGCATGATTTCAGATTGGTGCCTGCAGGTCCAGATCCCTTATTTAGATAGTCAGAACTCACTCGAACTGGCATCAAACCCACGTCGACTCAGCACTCAAAGTGTAGAACAGCACGTATAAAAAGAAACAAATTTTTTATTTTCTAGTTAAATGTCCCTCTGCTCCAACATGAGATATAATGCTTGGCACACAATAGGTATTCCCCAAGTGTTTAGTGGATGACTGTGAAATCCTTTAATAAATGTCTGTAAAAGCTCCAATTCAGTTCTAGTACAGACCAGAAGTACAAAATGCAAGCCTGTTTGGAACCAGCTTCTGAGTGAAATCTAAATTCCTTTGTGCCCTACTAAGCAGCCATCAATTGGCCCCAACTTTTCTATTCTACCTCATCAATGCCCACCGCTCCCATACCCCAGCTCCCAAGTTCCAGACCCATCAAAACTTTATATCATTCCCAGAGCAGACCATACCCTTTTACAACTCTGAGACTTTGTACTTGCTATTCCCTCTTCTCAAAATGCCTTTCCCTTTTAAGCATAGCCAATTTCTACTCCTCCTTCAAAACCCTCGCTTAAATGCCTCCTGTACAGACATCTCTCAGACTCCCCAAGGCAGCATCAATCCCAAGTCCAATTGATACTCCCTAAGTCCAGCTCCCTTCTCTGGACTCCCTCAACAACATGTCTAGAATACTGATTAAGAGGCCCAGCTTTCAGGTCATACTAAGGGCTGAGCTGAATTCCCAGCTTTGCAATTCATAACTTGTGAGAACTTGGGTGAGCTATGTGACCTCTCTGAACTTCAGTCTCCTCATCTGCTTAGCAGCACTAATAGCAAACACCCCAGAGAGTTGCAATGGGAATGATTTAATTAGATCACAGTAAGGTATACAGTAAATGCTCAAGAAATGGTAGACGGTGTGATGCCTTCTATTACAGTACCTGAGATTTACCTGTTTATACATCTGCTTCCCCTGTGAAGCCTTAGATGACACCAATAGGGTCTGCAATTATTTCTTATCCCTGACAGCTAGCATGCTAACTGGCGCATGATAGGTACTTAATGCTTCCTTTCAGAATGCTTCTGTGCAGTGATGAATGAATGAATCTGAGCTGTTTGATTCCTAGAGTGCCCAGGAGGAGCAGGGTCTCCCTGCAGTGGCAGAGGCAGTTGTGCCGAAGGCATGGAAGGAAACGGAAGCTGCTCCTGCCAAGTAAGTTGAGAAACGTGTTCTTCCTCTCCCCAGTTCTGCTCCCCCTCTTCTTTCCTTAAACACACACACACTAGGTGGTGTCTCTAAGAGGTAGCAGTATTAATAAAAGGAATATGCAATCTGCAACAAAATGACCTCGTAGAAGCTGAGGACCTTTAGGCGAGTCAATTAACTTCTCAGCCTTAAGCGTATTCATCTGCAAAATGGGTTTGAAATAATATCTATGTAATGGTGTTTGTTGAAAAAGTGAAATATCATATATGTGAAAATACTTTGTGAAACTATATAAGCTATAGAAATTGTTGTCATCATTGCTATTAATAACCACATTAGTGGACTAACCATTTGGTGGTGTCCTCAGCAACCTTTGTGAACCACTGGGTGTGCCAGTCGAAAGATTTCTTTATCTCATGAAAGTGACTTTTTGCCTTAGAGGATTTCAATGCAAAGAAATCCTCCTGAAAGGGATTAAGTTCAACTCTCTTCAGAAATGCAAAACAAAGTTTTCATTTCACTGGGGTGAAATGGTAACATGGTTCTTAGCACTTGCCGTCTCCTATGTGTTTGGACTGACATAGCAGCTTTCTTCTGCAGAGCTCCAGACCTTTAGTAAAAAATGACACAGGGATTAATGTATGCATTATAATACAAAAAGCAGCAAAAAATAAAGGAAGAAACACACAGAAGAAGCTTCAGGAAAGGCACAGAAGAAAAATATATTTGTGAAGCAAATGCTGACCAGACCATCAGTTGGAAATCCAAGGGCTTCCTGGGTATAACATCAACTAACTGGGTGTCTTGCAGGAAGGATTTGGTGGAACGGCCTGTGAAACCTGTGCTGATGACAACTTATTTGGACCCAGCTGTTCAGAAGGTATGTCTAATTTTTGTGTAAGCAACACATTTGTAAGGGTTGAAAGTCCCCAGAGAAACTGTTCCATGAGGGAAAAACCCTGCAGAGTTATATATAACCAAGTCTTCACAGGGAGAACAGAAAGTTGAGAACAGATCTGACAAAATGCAGTCATTGAGAAGAGAAACAGTGTCTTCTGTGGTTCTCAGCACTTACAGTCAGCTACTCCCAGTAATGCTTTCGAGCACACCTGGCAGGTATCCGATTCCCTCTCCCCAGGCTCCAAGATCCAACAGTCTCTTCCTTGCCTGCACAGCTTTTTTCTGAGGTCTTTCTGGATCCTGGTCTCTGCAAAGATCCAGGGACTTCTAATTCTACCATCGGTCCCACCAAATTCTCACTTTCCCCTTCTTTTGGGAGTTCACAAATAAATGCCTGAAGTGATCAGAGATTGTGGGCTCCAAATTAAACAAACTGGTCCACTCTCATTTTCTTTCACCCCCAGAAGTAGACTCTGAGACAAGGATTCAAGTTCCTGGAAGGCGATCCCAGGAAACAGTAAGGTGTGAGGAAGTGACACAGAGGGAAGGGGTGTGTTATCAAGCCAGGTACCACTGTGGATGACTGAGCTTACTTCCCTGGAGAGCTCTGGGTGTCAGTGTAGAGCACACATCTAGAGTTATCTCATCCAAGGGGACAGGGAGCCACGATGTGGGAGGCAGGATAACGTCTCTCCCAAAGATGTCCACATCCTAATAATTCCTGGAACCTGGGAATATGTTACCTTACATGGCAAAGGTGAATTAAGGTAGCAGACAGAATGAGGGTCAATAATCAGCTGATCTTAAAATAAGAGATTATCCTGGATTATCTGTGTGGGCCCAATGTCATCACAAGGGTCCTTAAATGTAGAGGAAGGAGGCACAAGATTCAGTGGATTACTGATAAGATGAGAAAGACTCAACCAGCTATTGCTGGCTTCAAAGATGGAAGAGGCCACAAACCAAGAAATGTGGGCAGCCTCCAGAAGCCAGAAAAGGCAAGGAGACAGATTCTCCCCTCAGAGCCTCCAAAAAGGAATACGACCCTGCCAATACCCTGATTTTAGCACAGTGATTTTGGATTTCTGAACTCCGGACATGTAAGACAATTAATTTGTGGTGTTTTGAGACCATAAGTTTGCGGCCATTTGTTACAGCAGCTGGAGGAAGCTAATACACATAGTCGCTGGGGGAGAGTTGTTAATACCCTGGCACTTCCAGCATCCAGTGAGTGCTCAGACAGAGAAGCCATCCTAAGGTCCACAGGAAACACTCAGGCAGAGAGCCGTGGATACCACATTAGATAGTGCAGCCCTAGGACATAATGGTTAAGAGAACAGGCTTTGAAGTCAGACTGGCCTGAGGGTGAAATTAACCACAATTGCTGTGTGACCAAGGGCAAGCCATTTAATCTCACTAAGCTTTCCTCATCTATAAAACAGGAATAATAATACCCGCCTCATGAGGTTGACAACATAGCAAAGCTCTTAGCAGCGTGTCACAAGCACTCAACCAATGGAAGCAGGTATTAATTGAAGACAAAAACAATCCCGCAATAAGCAAGGCACCAGTGAATGAATGAATGAACAAATGAGTGAATGAATGACTCAGTGACAGCTGGCCACTTCCCATTGGCAAGGACTAGGGAAGCTTGAAACCTTTTCAGCCAGGCATCCACTGGGTGCCAGTGTTGTTTCATCCAATAAGGTGTTGGTCCCGGCAAGGTGGCAATTCTGCCTGTAAGTAGGACAACTCTATTAGGTGCAGTTTATTTTTAAAGCTGACTTTAACCCACTGCTGGAGCACTTTCCTACCAGACTGTTTATTGGTTTAGAGATGATTTAGAGATATACCAGCCAAAGATTTTTATCTCTCCTGCCAATGCCCTATCCTGCTCTGTGCCTCACTCCAGATTAGGGCAGATTGCAAAACTCATTTTCTCTAACATGACTCCCAAATCAATCCCACAACTATCTATTGGTAATAAGAGTAGCTAGTATTTGCTGAGCGCCTGCTGTGTGCCAGGCCAGGCAAGTGTGCAAAGAGGCTTCTCATGTATAACGTCTTTGGGTACTCACTACAGCTCGTCAGGCCAGTGTCCTCATTTTATGGATGAAGAGGCAGAGAGATCACTCATAGCCATGCAGCTATTATGAGGACAGAGGCAGGATTTGACCCCAGCTGTCTGACTCCAAAGACTGGGCCCCGAAGCACAGCACCGTTCTGCCCTTGGTGAGCATACACCATGCATTAGGCCCTGCAGGAGATGGGAATCCAAAGAGGGGTGAGATTAGGTCCCCATCCTCAAGGAACTGGAAGTGTGGGTGACAATTACGATGCAGTGAACACAGCCCACGCAGGATGCTATGGGAATGCGGGAGAGGGCACAGCTTGCCCTGCCAAGGAGCACATCACAGGGAGCTGTGCTCACTATCTTTTGACCGAAATGGCCATGCTTTGACCACTTAAAAGTCACACTTTAAAGTCATTTAAACCCCAAGTTTCATGTGTCTCTAGAGATTTGCTGAGGCTGGTTCACGAAGTACCAAGGGCTCTTTCAATGACCATCTGATCTGAGAATCTCTCTGCCACTCATGTCTTCTCAGGAGCACTTTCTTGGCAGTGACAGACACCCCTGCAGTGTGCTGTCAGAGGCTGCCAAAAGCTGCCTGTGCCAGGTCCATTAGTCCAGTACAGAGGCTTCACCAGAAGACAGGATGCAGGGAGAGGCTCACGCCAGGGCCTTGGGCCCACACCACACAGCAGGGAGGGCAATCTAGCTGACAAGGACACACTTGCAGTCAGCATCTGAGCTGCGAGCAGGGGCTGAGTCATCATTCAACCCCCCTCCTGTGCCCCTCACTGAGGCATGACAGCACTGAGGACACTAATCGTCACTGTATCACCTAGTGTCTGGTTTCCCGCTACTCTGTGAGATCCTTGAGTTGAGATACTGTGAATTACTTGTATTTGTATACCTAGTGCCTAATACAGTGCTGGCTACTAGGTGGAAGCTGGATAAACATTTCTTAACTGAATTGGATGGAATCTTCTCTATTAAGCCCCATAATACAACCCCCTCCTCACCCCATTTATCTCCATAACTAATTTGACTTCTCTCCGGAACCTATCTGTCTCCAAAAGCTACAGCCACAGGTGGACCTCAAAGTGCTTTGCTAAAATACAAACAAAGGCAATCAGGTTTTGAAGGGAGGATGGCAAATTGCAAATCCAATTTAATTCTTCAATTATTGAGTGAGTACTTTGGCTAGTTATCTGCCATTTTTCATATGTAATAGAGAGAGTTGTGAGCACTATGTTAGGTGATGCCTGCAAAGCTCTTGGCTAAATGCCGGATACATAGTAAGTGCTCAATAAAGGAACATGTAGGGTCAAGGCTAGGGTGACATCAGTGAGGGACGTGCCTCAGGTGCAAAACTTAAGGAGGCATCAGAAAACTCAGTAATCGAGATAAATAATTGTACTAGTTTCCTGGAGTGGTTGTACTGCAAATCAGGTGGCTTAAAACAACAGGAATTTATTGCCTCAGTTCTAAAAGCTCCAAGTTCAAAATCAAGATGTTGGTAGGGCTGTGCTCCCCCCAGAGCCTCTAGGAGAGGATTCTTCCCTGCCTCTTCCAGCTTCTGGTAGCACCGAGCATTCCTTGGCTTGTGGCAACATCACTCCAGTTTCTGCCTCCATCTTCACATGGCCCTCTTCCCCTCATACGTCTGCGTCTCCTCTCTTATGAGGACACCAGTCATATTGGATTAAGGGCCCACCCTATTCCAGTACAACCTCATCTTAACTAATTACATCTGCAATGACCTTGTTTCCAAATATGGTTACTCTGAGGTACTGGGAATTAGGACTGCAATATATTCTTTTGGAGGACAAAATTTAACCCATAGCAGTAATACTTTAGAATTATTGAACAAAACATCAAAATGTTAAATAAAGGCAGGATCCAACTCCACACTTGGACTACCCCAGCACACTCTCCCTGCCCTCATCCCAGCCCTGCCCAATGCTGCCTTTATTTTAAATTTAGTTGTGTGGTTGTTGGTACTGTTATAAGACACTATAAAAGATGTTGTGGGGAAATACAGAGGGGGAAGGCCTTCCAGCAGGTTACAATCTAATCAGGGAGAAAAATAGAGATTGAGAAAGAAATAAGCAGCCCCGACAGCTGTCAGCAGTAGCTGGCCCAGTTGCTACTAGCTAGGCTGTGGTGTTCCCCTGCTGAGCATAAAGAATTTCACAGAATAGCACCATCAGACAAAGACGCACCATATCCATGGTGGAACAAGACGAAACTAGGGCACTGAATAATCGTGTCTGAACAGAGAATAAATAACAACAATGGACAGCCACAAAAATAACCCAGCGGCTGCCTCTCCTGGCTGACATGAGTGGCTACTGCTGCTTCTTCCTCGATGGCTCACCCTTGCTGCTGGCATGTTTGACCTCTGGTGTGCTCCTGGTGGTCTCTGGTTGTCAACGGTCGACACAATTAATCATTGCAGCAGGATGGGATAGTGGACAAGGCACAGAGAAAGTGCTGCTGGAGCCCAGAGGAGCACAGATTCTGCTTGGGGACCACTGAGATAGCAGCACGGGTGGGCATGGGCTTTGACTGGGCTTGAAGGAGAGAAGGATTTCAATTTGCATGCAAAAGGGCGCACAGCAGAGGCAAGAGCGTGGAGGTGTGAACATGCTAGATGCATCTCCTGCTTCTTCCACCCAGAATGTCTTCCCCAGACCAGCCCCATTCCAGCTCTTCCTGGCCAACTCCCATTGGTCCATAGGTCGTAGCATTTATCACACTGCATCGTGGCTGGCTGTTTTCTTCTGCAACTGTGAGCTCTTTGAGGGCAGGGACTTTGTCCTGTTTATCTTTTGGCCATTAATCTCTAGCACAGTCCTCTGAACATGATAGGTGTTCAATACATGTTTTGAGGGAAGGAAGATGAAGAATGAACTGAGTCATCCCATGTGCTTAGAGTTTGAGACGTACAAAATAAAGTGGTGGAAGATGAAAATGAGAAATTATAAAGGTTAGAATGAGATTGGAGAAGTCCTTGTCTGCCAAACTGAAGAATTTAGATTTCATTTGGATGGCAATTGAGAGTCATTGAGATATTTTTGGGAAGGTCACTCTAACGCCATTGCTAATCAAATGAAATGGATGGAATGGAGAGGGAAGAAATTGGAGACAGTGAGGCCGTGTTAAATGCTACTGCAATAGACCAGGCAAAACATGACAAGGACCTGAATAAAGACAGACCAGTGGAGACAAAGAGCAGAAGACAGAGATGGGAAACATAATGGACAAAGAATACAAAGGACTTGGTGCCTTATTAGATGTTTGGAATACCTGAAACTTTATTAATCCTTATTTTTTTAAGATATTTTTAATTAAGTTTTTAAGCAAGTGTGTCTTCTTAATTATGTTTCACTGGGGCTAATTAAATTGGCTTACATTCACTGAACACATGTGTGGTAGGCAAAATCATGGCCCCCAAGGATGTCCATGTCCTGATTCTGAGAACCTGTGAATATGTTAGGCCACATGGCAAAGGGGAATTAAGGTTGCTAATCAGTTGATTTAAGATAAAGAGACTGTCCTGGATTATCCAGGTGGGCCCAATGTAATCACAGAGTTGTTATAAGTGGAAGAGGAAGGCAGAAGAGAGAACCAATAGAAATGGCAACATGAAAATGACTTGGCCCGGTGTTGCTAGCTTTGAAGATGGAGAAAGGGGCCATGAGACCAGGAACACACGTGGCCTCTAGAAGATGAAAAAGACAAAGGAAGAGAGTCTCCTCTCAAGTCTCCAGAAGAAATGCAGCCCTAGTGAAACCTTGATTTTAGCCCAATGAGACACATTTCAGACTTCTGACCTCCAGAATTATAAGAAAAATTTGTGTTCTTTTAAGCCACTAGGTTTGTGGTAATTTGTTATAGCAGCAATAGAAAATGAATATAACATGCTTCACAGGGGGCCAGCCATAGGACGCTGGTGGCCCAGCCTAGTAGTAAATCTTGCTACAAATGAGCCACAAAATGGGTGCTAAAGAGTTGGCCATTTATTTCAAATGCCCTTCATTTGTCTTCCCTGAAATGATCTGTTACTGGGCTGAAAATTCATCTTTTACAAGTTAGACAACTTGGCCTAGTTATTCTAGGCCCTTCTGAGTTTCTTTTTTATCCTTGCATTCCCCCATTATTCGGGAAGGAGGACTTATTTGCATAGACATCTCCTACCAATAGTGATTGAGTTAGCGGTAGCTTTTCTCTTTCAGACAGTACAAGTGTATATAGGACACCAAGTTAATTCTCTCACTAAGTATTCAAAGATGAAGTAACTGGTTTGAAAGTAGGGAAAAGAATTCCAATACACGTTACATGCCAAGTATGCTTTAAATACAAAGATACTTCAAAAACTTTGTGGGAAAATAGAATTAAAGAATAATACGAATCTTCCCATGAACTTTTTGAAGATCTGTCATATGTTATCTCACTTAACTTTATAGAAATCCCAGGAGGTAGGTATCATTCCCCACATGTTATACATTTAAAAAACTGAAGCAAAGAAAAGGAAGAGGAAGCCAAGATTCAAACTGGAATCTCTAGGACTTCAAACCAGGTTCCTCCACCTCATTGTATAGATTCTCAGTAAGGACTATCTGCAAATATGACCCTTCCAGAATCCTTATCAGTCTTTAGCAGTCTACATCAGGCAATGAGAATCCCCCTTTTCTGCCTGCAGTGTGCAGCTGTGTGCACGGGGTGTGCAACAGTGGGGTCGATGGCGATGGAACCTGTGAGTGCTACTCCGCCTACACTGGGCCCAGCTGTGACCAACGTGAGTACCACTAGCTTCCTTCATGCCACACCAGGCAGACAGGTGCAGATATATGTGTTCCAATTTTGTATTCATTACTGGGGCTCTACAAGGGCGAGACATCATCAAATGTTTTGCTGGAAGGAAACCAAAAATTAAAAAGAGAGAGTAGAAAAGGCAAGGATGAGAAGAGGACGAAAGAAGAGAGGAGGGGAGGGAAGGGAGAGAGAGAACAGAAGCAGTGCAGTGGCATGGCTATAGCTGTGTCTTAGGAAGGTCAAGGTGGTGGCAATGTGAAGAAGGGGATGGAGAGGGAGATGTTGAGGCTGGGAAGCCAGTAGAGACCATTGCAACAAGCTAGTCACCTAGTAAAGGAAAGAAGGTGTGTTCTCAATTATGAGTCTCAAGGGCTGAACACATTAACAGCCCTGAGGGATAGAAAACAGAGGATCACCAAGGCTAAGTGACTCACCAAAGGTCATAAAACTAGTAAATAGGAGAGCTGTGACTCAAATCATTTGAGCCCATAGGAAATTCTTTAAACAATCTATTACACTGGGTCCAAGCAAGAGATAGAAACCATAGGGTGATCTCAACAAGAGAAGTGTAATACGAAAAATTAGTAACCTGTGCCAGAAGAGTAGCTGTAAAAATGCAGAGAACTCTGGGGATGATGGAGTGTAACAAAGGAAGGACAAACTTAGAAGGGAGTGGCCATCCCCAAGGCTGGGTTCAAAGCTGTTGAAGAGGGTATGGCGGAAGCCCACTGGGTAGCCAAGAAGTTTGCTGTTTTGCACAGGCCAGCATTGGATCACAGTTGACCAGCAGACACAGGACAACCCTCCAGGGCACTGGTGAGCTGAGGATGGTAGGCAAAGGCACAGAATAATTTGGGGACCTCACAGGCGCATAACCTGGAGTATGCAGTGTCTGTGTGAGGAAGGCTGCAGGGAGGTGTTCACTGGGTCCAGGCCAAGAATGCACAGTAACAGTGGGTACACAGCTTAGGCAGAGCATTCCTGAGACTAAGCAGCAGCAGCAAACAAACAGCAGAGGCACAACACTGCACCCTGAGCCCAGGAAGAGGAGCCCCTGCCTCCTGCACTGTCCCTCCAAAGCACTCTACTGGCAAAGCTTCACAATTCACTGTACAGGAGAAACCCTCACGGGTCCAACCATTATAGCAGAACAGGCTCCGAAGGGTGAATTTGGAGATGAGATGTTAAGAAATTGGTCATTCTGCCTGTGACACTAGCCTCATTTAAATTATCCTCTAGATTTTAAAATAAAGGTGGTTAGACGAGATTAAAATGTCCTGTAAAATAAAGGTGGTTAGACGAGATTAAAATGTAACAAATGCAAACTCATTTTGTTGAAAGCTATTGAGGCACTACAAGCAGTGGTAGAAATGAGATGAATGAAACACAGCCTCTGCCTTCTTCCTGTGGAGGAGACAGCCACATAGCCACCAGCTCAAATCCACCAATTCAAATCCACAGCTGAGTGCGCAGGATGACCCCTCTGTGGACCTCAGTCAGCCTCCTTCCCCAGCCACCCCTGTCACTGCCCAATGGACTCATGAGCAAAGGCAGAAGACCCAGCCTAGCAGCCAGCCTAATGGAAAACACTGTCAGATTGTCTTCCAAATAAGAAATAGCTCTGTGGAGTCAAAAGAGGAATGACAGGCTGAGACAAAAATGTTTGCAATGTACTTGGAAGGTGAATTTTTATAATAATATAAAGTCCATGAACCCAATTTTGAAAAGGGGCCTAAGGGCAGCTAATTATCAAAATAACAAGTGGAAACCAGCAATAAACATGGAAAAGATGCTAAACCCCAAAATGAAGTCATATTTGGAGTTCTGAAGGTTTGGTTTGGTTTCATTTGATGTTTATTTTTTTGCCCACTATGTTTTTTGCCCACAGATTGAAAAGGGAGATAATATCTATCTATGGATATGAGAAAAATGACAGTAGGGATGTGTATTCCCACAACCCCTGGGGGAAAGTTTTCTATTAAATATTAAGGCATGTTTATAGTATGCTGCTGCAACCCAATTCTAGGAATTCACCCAGGGGGGGAGGGAGGGATAAGCACCAGTAGGTAAGAATATATGTACAGAGAAAGTCGTGGCTGTATTGCTTGTAAGAAAACACAAGCTGAAAACAGCTTAAATACCCGTCAGTAGGAAATTGGTTGAATAAATTATGGTACATCCTATACTAATTTGAATAATGCTAGCTGCTATAAAAATAAACACAAAAATTCAATGGCTTAGCATTATGGTTCTAAAGTTGTACACCACGATGACCTAAGGTACCACATCAAATTCACTGGCTTCTATCAGATATTTTAAATTTTTAAGGAAAACACAGTGATACGTCTCTCAGATACCACATGAACTGCCAACTTGAATTAGTTCACAATTGCAAAATTAGGTTGGCTTACGTTCCTTTCAGTAACATCATATCATTGCAAAGGTGCATTTCAGTGTTTGCTGTGATACAAAGCAAGGACCATGTAAAAATCAACGTGACTGGTATTAGGGTATCAGTATCCAATCTGATTCCATAGTTTGAGAAGTTGTGCCATGTCCAACAGATTCACATGTCTCGCTTGTAAGTAAATGTGGTTTTTTAACAATGACATAGAAATATTTTTCTTTCTATCAAACATGTTATTTTTTCAAATGTCCACTAAGTTCTCATGACATAAATAGTGACTTAGTTCTTTGGTTCTAACAACATAATACATGGACTTGTGAGGTGTGGGGACACTATGAAAAATTGAGACACTAAAGGCACCATGACCTGAGACATTCGGAAACCTCTGGCTTAACACAACAGAGGCATAGTTCTCACTTGTGTGACAGTCCAATGTGGGTGTTCCAGACTGAGGCCAGCTTCCCACCACATGATGGTTAGAGATCCAGATCTTTCCATCTTGTGACTCTGCCATTCTCTAGAGCCTCAGAGTGCTCTGCTTTCAGCCATGAATAGGAAAAGAGAGGGTAAGAAGCACTTACTGATTAAAGTCCAGAAACATACAGGAAACTTTAGCTCAATATTCCATCAGCGTGAACTAATCACACAACACCACCTGGATGCAAAGGGGGATGGTTTGAAAAATGTAATCCTGAAGGGGCATCCACTTCCTGGTGACAATCTTACTTTATGGAAGTGTGGGAAGATAGTATCTGTAAATTTTTCTGCAGCATCCCTGAAACTGAATCAGTCCAACTGGTTAGCTCTGCACGTTGGCTAAAATGTCAAATTCTTCAAGGTTTTTGAAAGCCATCTGTGTCACTCCTGAGTTGCGAAATACTATGCAGTTATTAGAGATTAAGGTAAATTCTCAAAGACTTCCATAATATATTGTTAAATTAGCAAGTAGGTAACTAAACAGTTTAACAAGATTCCACATTGTTAAAAAATCAAATAAATACATTGGTTACTTTGGGAATGAAATTGGACAGTGAGAATGAGACAATTAATTTTTACTTTATTATGTATTTTTAATCATTACAATGAGTCTGTATTACTTTTCTAATAAAAAGGAATGCTGTAGTTTGGGGCTTTTTAGAACTGGTTATCCAACTAATGCAAGTACCTCAACTATCTCCTTGTGCAGCCATCCCTGAGTGTGCAGCCTTGCTCTGCCCAGAAAATTCCAGATGCTCGCCTTCCAGCGAAGATGAAACCAAACTAGAATGCAAATGCCTTCCCAGTTACAGAGGCGATGGCCAATACTGCGAGCGTGAGTAGAACTTAGATATTGCTAGTTTATGCATTGAGATGTTTAGGTTATATAACGGGGAAAGAACTCACAATGTCCTTAACATTAACACAATGACCATTTCTATTTCTCTCTATATAGTTGAGTGAAATATATAAAAAGTGCGAGCAAAATGCTCATCAGATAGTAGTCCTCCATAAATGGCAATTTCTCCTTGTATTATCAAAGTATACATTTTTTACTCACTTTTTATATCACTTTAATCAATGCAAGTATAAAATTAAATGCTTCCTTTTTTAAAATGTTCATCCATTTTATGAAAGGTTGTATTGTGTACCAGCTGAGAACACAAACTTTAGAGCTAGACTGCCTGGGTTCAATCCCTGATCTGCCTTTTACTGACTGTGTGATCTTTACCGGATTGTGCCTCAGTTTTCTTATCTATCCAATGGGCATAATAATGGCAACTACCTTAGGGTATTGTAAAAATTTTAAAAGTCAATATATGGCAAGTGGTTAGGACCCAGTGTGTACTATAAATTCTATAAGCATTCGTGTTTTCTTTCATACTATTTTATATTTAATTACACACATAATATGGCATAATAATATATGAACACAATACTTGTCATTACAATTTCTGATGGCCATATGTAAATCTGTTTGGTGGAGGGGCGGGTGGCCAGACGGGATGACATGAAATGTTGCTTTTTTCTCTTAAAACTGCTGAGTGACCTTTGTGGCTCTGGGGAGGTACGACCCACAGTCCCCCCCCAGTTCAGTCCCCCCATCCCCACGTGTGCTAACTGCCTCTCCTTTTGCCATTGCCTCTCAAGCCATCAATCCATGTTTACAAAAAATCTGCCACCTTCACGCCCATTGCACATACCTGGGGCCAAATCGACACAGTTGTACATGCCAAGAAGGCTACAGCGGAGATGGCCAAGTATGCTTGCCGGTAGACCCCTGCCAAATTAACTTTGGAAACTGCCCTACAAATTCTACGGTGTGCAAATACGACAGGCCTGGACAGGTGAGCTAACGATGCATAGAACTGATGTGTCTGGAAGCAGGACAATCCCGAAGGTGAAATGGTGCCATTGGTGTGATTTGTCTTCTGCGCAGTCCCAATTCTTCCCTTGAATGTTTGATTTGGGCTTTTTCACCAAACAGTCCTCCCCGGGCTCAGAGCCTGACTTCAGTGTCCCCTCCCACCCCAAACTCACATTTTCCCAACTCCTCAGTCAAACTGTAACTGTACTGTCTTCTCTCCTCTCACAATCTACATGGTGATTAACAAAATATACACAAAATTCAAAATTACACTAACAAGTTAACTGTTAACCAAGTCTTGGGTGAATACATAATCACCCACAATCCTCATTCTCTCTAATGTCTTTTTAAGATAAGAAGGGCTCTTAGAACCAAAAATACCCTGTCCCAAAGGGACGAACACTGATAAAATGTAGGGCAGCACTGACAGATTTTAGAGAGCAGTGAGGATTTTCTGGGGTAAGACACTGCCCTTCTAAATCACATCATGACCTTGACTAATAAAAATCAGCCTGGTCAGGTCTTTGCCAAGGATTCCAGTTGAAAGAGCCCTGTTCCTAATATCTCATTCATCTATCAAGTATTTAGTGGATGCCTACTGTGTCCATAACTGCACGTCAAATCTTCAGTAGAGGAAATCGACTTGTACAGAAGGATATTGCCTCACTGGTAGAAGGAAAGGCTCAGTGCCCAACCCAAACACAGCCATGGGTTCCCTGCAGTCTAATTGGCACCCTGATGGGAGTGTTCCTGAAATCATCTGCAGAGAATACACCCAATCTTACCTCAAAAAAGAAAGAGCATATATATCATGCAACATTTCTGCTATCAATTTCGGAGGCAGGTTTGCAGAGAAATTCAAGGGGCTGAATTCCCATTCTCAAAATGAAGGCCTTTATGGAAAAACTTATGTTATACCATGAATGCCAGGACCTTGGAAGTGAGATTAAAAATATGTTTAAGCTCTTTAAAAATGAGTCCCAAGACAGATTTTCAAGTCCTAGAAGCCCTCCATTGTTCACACAGAAGCAGGACATTGAATTATTCCAGAGCAGGGTTTCTCAAACCTCAGCATTATTGACATTTTAGATTGGATGATTCTTTGCTGGGGAGGGGGCTGTCCTGTGCATTGCAGGATATTTAACAGCATCCTTGGTCTCTAGCAGCATTGCCCTCCTCCCACTATGACAGTCAAGAGTCCCCTGGGTTGAGACTCCCTGTTGAAAACCATTGTTCTAGAGCAATAATACTCCCACTTGAACATCAATCTCTGCTCATCTATAGACAATTTAAAACCAGAAATTATGGAGCCAGAAAGGCCAAGGGTTAGGAAACACAACTAAAAAGCTAAACTTTACAAACAAGGAGAATGAGCTTCCCAACAGGTACGATACATAAACATGATGTCCATTTCTGGATATTTTGACGAATTTTTAGTTTAAGTCCACACTTGAGACCTATTTTGAGTTAGTCTTTATGGCAGAATGTATTAAATATGGGTTTAATTAAATATGGGTTTAAAATGGATTAAATGGATTAAATATGGATTAAAGAAAATGCTAGCTGAAGTGACTAACTAGAATCCTATTTGTTTTTCTCTCCCCGTGTTTTCTGAAGTCTCACTGTGAATGTAAGGAACATTACCACAATTTTGTACCTGGAGTGGGGTGCAGTATGACCAATATCTGTGAATCAAATAACCCATGTCATAGGAATGCAAACTGTACCACCATCGCACCAGGCCAAACCAAGTAAGTCTTTTCAGTTTCACCACCATCTTTTCCAAGTGCTAAAAGTGATGGCCGGTCAATGCTGTAAGTTCCTTGAAGGGAAGGAAATGTGTCTTACTCAGCTTTATATCCACCCCCACCCCACAGGAGCAATGAGCATAGTAGGTACTCAATACATCCTTGTAAATCTTTACAATGGCCATTAGAATACTCTGGAACATTGACCTGTCCTGACAACTTGGTATGAAGTGGTCAGAACATGAGAGAAGGAAACCACTGTGACTGGGAAAACAACTGCTGTTGAGATTAGAGGGGTTTGACCTCTAATGTACATGCCTGTTTCCTCACTCATGAAATATTGCTTGTTAGAGGTGCAAAACAAGACTGGGGAAAGTGAATACCCACTAGCTGTGCTTCCTATACTCCAGGTTTCAAAAGAAGGGGTTTACTGTGAGTAAAAACAACTGTGTGAAAATTCCTGAGGCAGAGGCAGCTCCCATGATAGGAAGGGGGTGGTATTTGGAGTTTAAAGATCTGGGTTTAATTCCTGGCACTGGTACCTACCAGATGCATGACCTTGGGAAAGTGGCACCATCTCTCTGGCCTCAGTTTCTCCATGTATAAAATGAGCACAATGATATCTACTCTATAAGGTTGTTGTGACAATTATGTGAGAGGATGTTTCTGGAAACTGCTGTACAGATGTATTGTGTTTTTATTAGTGACTGACCTGAGGCTGGAACCCAAGTCTTTTGAGTCCTGACCGAGGTTTCTATCTCTGTGCCATTTTCAGTTTTCATCATCAGCAGCATCTGTGAAGGACTCACATGACACTGTGAGCTCAAAACCATAACAGACACTGAACCGTGTAATTATAGAACTGTTTTTGTGCTCCCAGAGCCCCCTTCTCTCTTGTTTGAAGTTCATTTCTTTTATAATTGGGTTTTCAGTGTGTGGATTTGCTCAGAGAGGTTTTATGACCCTCATGTTCTATCTGACAAATAAGTAGATCTGAACTCACTGTGAACTGAGTGGAAAGAGCATGGTTGTCAGAATACCTGAGTTCAAATCCCAGCTCTGCCACTTACCTTAGACCTCTTTGAACTGTTTCTTCAGCCATACAAGGGGGAGAATTGTACCTCCCACCAGGGCTGTGTTGAGGATCAAGTGAGACTACATTCATCAATCCCTAAGCAGAACCTGGCATATAGAAATCACTCGATCCATGTGAGGGTACACACAAACACATCTTGTCCATGCCTATAGGTACCCAACACACCTATGCATACAGGCACATCTTCTCCTCAGACATAGATTCTGGTAATATTGGTAACCAAACAAGCCAGGGTATACAATTTCTACCATACCCTGAGAAGGTCTGAGTAGAATACCTTAATTTCTTTCCTTTGTGTTTGAGAAGATAAAATCTACAAATGAAACTGGAATATCAGTATAGTGTAAGCTGCATCAAAACTTGTGCATAGGGCCGGCCCGGTGGCGCACTGCTACAGTGCGCTGCTTGGGAGCGCGGAGGCATTCCCGCTGAGGGTTCGGATCCCACGTACAGACTGGCCGCTCACTGGCTGAGCGAGGTGCGGGCGCGACACTGAGGGTTGCGATCCGTTGCCGGTCACGAAAAAAGACAAAAAGGAAAAAAAAAAAACTTGTGCATAGAATGTCAGTGGAACTAATGATGAAGTTTCGGGGTACATGTGTGACCCACAAACCTTCCTTCTCCCTTCCCCCAAAATTGACTCTCTTCAGCTGGAAAGAAGCAGTAGTAAAAAGAACGGCTAAGTTACATTAATGAAATGTGAAGCCATCAGTCTCCAAGTAATTTAGTTCATCTAGCGTAAAGATTTATGGTTTTTATCTCTCTTCAATATGGCAAGTAGTTTATGCAAAATCTTCAAGATCATACTGCATTAGTCACAGAAGACCACTCAGTCAAGAGGAATGAGTGTAGATGTGGACCCTACCACTCGCTGCTGGGGTGACCTTAGACAAGTCTAAATTTTCTACACCAAGTTTCCTCCCCCAACAAGTGGGGCTGGAAACCAAGAATATCTTCTTGTGAAGAGCTAATAAGCTAATGCAAGTAAGTATGCTTTTAAACTCTAAGCTCCATTTCGATTTTTACTAAGAAGAACAAATAACTTCATAGCTGTTAAAGTTGTGCCTTTTTATTTTTCTTCATGAGTAGAGGTAGGAAGTGAAGGACAATAGAAAAGAGAGGCATTTCTCTCTTTTATAATTCAACTCCACTAAAAAGAAGACTGGACATGACTGAGCAGGCCTACTGAAAAAAGCATGGTTTACATTCCAACTACACAAAAGTACAATAAACAACAGTGAAATTTAGAGACTTTTGGAATGTGAGTGACACTGATGCTATTCAGTGTTTATGTTAGAGTTGTACAGGTTAGAATGCTCTCAACATGAACAATCTGCCCAAGAATGCTGTCCAAGGCAACACGGTGCAATGGCGAGAGGCTATCCCAGATGGGCCTAGGTTTAAATCCCAGCTCAGCCACTCCCAGATGTGTTTCCAGCAGTCTGACCCTTAGACCTAGGCAGCAGGGGCCCCTGCCCTTGGAACAGTATTTTAGAGGGTCCAATTCTGGTCCTCTGCTAGCTACACCAAGGCAAGGAGTCTGAAGGACCAAGGGGATGTGCTCTCCCAGAGCCTGAACACCCTTGTAGATCACACTCCAGGCACTCAGAGCCCCATAATTCCCTGCCCAGATGGCTCCAAACCAGCTCCCAGGGCCTGGCCAATTCTCCCCAGTGTATGGCCAAGGGGTGGCTGTTTGCAGTGGGTGGGATGAGTCAACACTATACCCACCACTCTCTTGAACACACACTTGGCTCTGGTTATACTGAACTGCTTACTGTTTGTCTTAGTCCTTTGGGGCTGTCATACCAAAGGACCATACATAGGGTGACTTATAAACAGCAGAAATGTATTTCTCACTGTTCTGGGAGCTGGAAGTTTAAGATCAGGGTGCCAGCATGGTCAGGTTCTGGCAATGGCCCTCTTCCAAGTTGTAGAAGACCACCTTCTTGTATTTTCACATGGAGGAAAGAGTGCTAGAGAGCTCTCTGGGATCTCTTTTATAAAGGCAATAATCCCATTCATGAGGGCTCCACCTTCATGACCTAATCACCTCCCAAAGGCCCCACCTCCTAATAACATCACATTGGGGATTAGGATTTCAATGGATGAGTTTTGGGGGGACACAAATATTCAGTCCATTGCACTGTTCTTCATACATGCTGTGATATCCCCAACTCCATGTCTTTGCATGTGCTTGTCCCTCTGCTTAAAACGTCCTTCCCCACCCCCTTGCCTTCTCTGAGTCAGGCTAACACACTGATCCTCTGATGCTCAGCTCAAGTATCTCCATGTCTAGGATCCCTCCCCTATCCTTCCAGCCCACTGGGATGCCTCTCCCTTTGGGCTCCAGAGCACCCTGAAATGCTTCTATTAGAGCATGTACGGCCCACAACTATGATGAATACATAGTTGAGTGAAATACTTAACCTCTCAGTGCCTTAGTTTCCTCGTGTAAAATGGGGCTAATAACAGAACACACCTCACAGGGTTGTTGGTATTAAATAAAATACCATAGTGAGGCCCTTAGAAGAATACCTGGCATAGGAACTATTAATAAATGCTATTTTTATCATTCCTGATCTCAATCCCCACCTGCAATATAAGGTCCTTTGGGATCCATATCTTATTTATCTTTATTGCAACAACTCCCATCATTGATTAAAACAGTGAAATGAGTGAGAGTTCGGAAGAATAATTGCATCAATGAAGGAGTAAAATGAACTATTGAAAAAATGAACAAAGCAGATGTACTAAGGCTTGGGGGGCACTCTGTGTACTAACTTGATCTCATCCAGCATTAGACATAATTAATTTCAACCCATAACTTATATGCAAATGGCTTAGGGGTGTTTTCAAAGCCTTAAGACGGCAGGAGATGTTTACTCCTATTAAAAAGTGAATTTAGGGCCGGCCCGGTGGCGCACTGGATAGTGCGCCGCTTGGGAAGCGCGGCAGTGCTCCCGTCCGAGGGTTCGGATCCCATGTACAGACCGGCTCCCGCTCACTGGCTGAGCGAGGCGCGGGAGCAACGCCGAGGCTTGCGATCCCGTCGCCGGTCCCCGGTCCGGTACGGGGGCAACACTGAGGGTTGCGATCCGTAGCCGGACACGGAAAAAAGACAAAAAAAAAAAAAAGTGAATTTATAAAAGAGGCAAGGTCATGAACATGCCATGGCCCAATTTAACATTTAAGCCAGAAAATGATCTCATAACATCTCAGACTTTGGACCGAGATTTGAAATAAAATGAAAATATTTATGTCTCATACATTCAACTCAGCACTGAGTCCATTAAAATATGATTCTCCTGCAATTCTTAGGAAAGACAGGTCTAGTCACTTTACACAAAACAGACCCCTGGCCTCACAGCCACTTAAGGAACTTTTAAAGAGAAACATACTTAGTGGTTTGTGAATAAGGAACTTTTAAAAAGAAACATACTTAGTGGTTTATAAAGGTCACATGTCTTGCTGTTAACAGTTGTCATCAAATGAAATTTATGTCATTTATAGCAGGATTAATTTTCAACACTGACTGCCATATCACTTCCCAGAGTTACCAATCTCCTCCTCTCCCTCCTTAAATTAGTATAGCATGATACTTGCAGAGGAAATGTTTAAGGAGGAAACTGGTACTTGATTGCATTAAGTAGATGATCATTTCATGGTAAGATCCACCTTTGCAATCATATAACAACATTTCTCAGCCTCAGCTCTATCAACATTTTTGGCCAGACAGTTTTTTGTTATGGGGGCCTGTGCATTCTAAGATTTTTAGCAGTATTTCTGACCTCTACTTGATAGATACCAATAGATCCCCTCCCCAGTGGTGACAACCAAAAATATCTCCAGTCATTGCCAGATGTCCCCTGGTGTGGGGGTGGGAATTGGCCCTGCCTGAGAGCCA